TCAGCCGAAGACCCACTTCCACCGTCTCTCCCGGGATAGTCGAGAATTCTCTGCCGAGTGCTTCCGCCCCTTTGCAGCGCACGGTACACCTCGCAGGTCCTCCTGCATACCTTGGCAGTGGCGAAATTGGAAACTCTGGACGCACCAACGTACAAAATTATTGCCTCTCCTTCTCGTTCCGGTTGTGGTCCTCTGAATATCATGGACGTTTCTCTTGGACAGCAAAAATTCGTCGACCCTTGCGATCGACTCGAACACATCTCGTCTTCTCTGCCCCTTCCGTGCACCGTGGCATCAGCAGAACATCCACACGTGCTTTTAAATGCTTCCCCTGCATTCGGTCCTCTGTCACCCGTCCCATCTTCAGCAGCGAGCCAGCCCACTGCAAACGGTCTTCCACGATGCCAATTGTTCCCATTTCATGCACCCCCCGCTCTCCCAAGGGAGCTGCTGCTGTCACCCCCCCCGCTACCACGGGAAATTGAAAGTCCGGTCCGTTGCATGAACAACGCTCAGGTGATCGCTGCTCGGGATAGCCGGCAAGCAAGGCAGTCCCGCATGACCATTCTCCGATTAAAACGTCAAGCCCGGCTCCCCGGTGTACCTCTTCCCTGCGTTCCGGGCAGAAGAACGACAGATTGGAATGCACGTGCCGTTGTCCCGTTGCCTGCCAGTTTACCTTGCCAGTGCAGATCCAGAATCCCGTGCCCTTCCAAGAGTTTGTGCCAATGCCCCAAAACCGCCCGCATCCTCTGCCTACACAGCATTCACCTCACGCCGTTACTCCGGTTCATCGCGTTCAACCCACACAGACACTTCACCAAGGCTTTTGGTCTTCCGGCTTGTGTAGGTCGACAAGACTTGGAATACGACGTGGACTTGCGAGGCAGCCGATGGACCGGGGCAGTCCCAGCCAACGTATGAGTCCCACCTCGGCTGCCCGTAGCATGAGAGAACAACAAAGGCAGTCTATGATTCGAAAACGACTTTCCTGATCTAGTGACGCTGCCCGGGCTTCGCACGCCGTCTGCGCGCCATCCGGGGGAGGCCATTTGGCTCCGGACGGGCACCCGGACGCAGTGCAGCGACGTTCTTCTCTTCTTTTCGGCGTTCGTAGGTCTTGCGGTAGTGCGGACCGGTCGGTTGCTGCAGCGCACTGCCGCACCTTGAAAAAACGGCGATCCTCCTGCGCCACCCGTAACCAGGCCTTGCGCGTGCGTCAACGTGTGCCGCGACCCGCGTCTCGGTTCCATCTCTACGCTGTTTTCCGGCAACGGTTGTTGGGTTGTCCTGACATAGAACCGCAGGAAGCAATTCCGGTTGCAATTACTCCACCGGGTCGAGAGATCCCTCGGCAGCAACGCCCTGGTTCGCCACCACAGGAACAGCCGATGGAGGTCCTTGCTTTTGACTCTGGATCTTCGCCTCAGCCTGCTCTCCCATTGGTACCTCCGCATTATAGATCTGCTATTTTGTTTAAACCACCAGTACCTCGCTCAGTGTTCGGCCGCGGGCCTTCCCGTATACGCGCCGCAGCCTCAGGCTGGTCGGCCAAGGGAAGGCCCAGTCGTAGCGCCAAGGCCGGGCCCCGCTTCTGTAGGGACGACACAAT